AACCTTTGTCAGCTACCGCTCCAACAACTCCCTGGGCAACTTTAAGCTTCAGAGTATCACCAAGATACCTTGCATCGCTCCCCTTTGTCATGGCTTCGAGGGAGCCCATACCTCTGTATTTTTTTACTCGGTGGCCGTCCTAGAAAAACACATTCAAAGAATCACAATATTAACCAGAAGCAAGTAAAATGGCAAACTTCAGTTACAATAGAGCATAAAAGTACAGTTAAACCTAGCATAAGGCTACACTTAAACTGGCCAATACATTTGAATACTTTGATCAACTTATACATCAACCCTTAATGGCAATGTCTGGTTAGAAGACTTCATGACATCTAAGTACACTGAAGTGCTGAACTACTATGTGGCCATTAAGGGATCTTTTAAATTGCAGTGGGCAAATAGAATCTATATTTGCATGTACATGGTTGTAGTTTTCATCAAAAGTAAGAGTTTAATCTCTAATATGGGGATTTGTGGACTTGAGCACACATCACTACAGGACATTCAAACTTAACCCTGTTGCAAAAGGCTAAAATGTACCTTGTATTCATAGGCCCCAGGAGCCTCATGGCTGCCAGCCAAGAAACTGCCCATCATAACAGTTGATGCCCCCAGTGACAAAGCCTTCACAATATGGCCAGAGTATGAAATACCACCATCAGCTATAACTGGCACATTGTGATCCTTGGCATATGATGCAACCTTGTAAACAGCAGTGGCCTGTTAAACCAAAACAGAAAAAACATCAAATTAGTTCGGTCTCTCCATACAATGTGTTAACATGCACCAGCAGCCATTTGAAACCGAACATACTAAATTATTTTCTAACATAGACCAGAGAGACTGCCAGGCTATGTGGAAATATATGGAGCAAGTTACCATCCAAATCAAACTAGATTGCAGATCTGAACAAAAGAAGAAAACAAAGCATCATATAAGGTCCATAAACAAAATGCTACTCCCCTTTCAAGAATGGGAATATAGACTAAAACATCAATGATACATATGAATCTGATTGCTTTAGATTTTCCAATATTCCAAATTTCCTAAGAATTTCAAATTTATTTTCCAAATTCCAACCCTCAAAATGTGACATATTAAGCATGAAGAAGACTGTTAACCATATGGTTTACATGGCATCCACACTCGTTCCTGTGCTAATGCAAATGGACACGAGGCATTTTTCCTGACAGCGCTTGCTATGTGCAATGTGTGAATTCAGAAAGTCGATTAGTTGTAGAGCTTGAGCTCAATTATTTTTGCATGGTAAACATTTATATGTTTCAGTCGTTGGGTGGCCACTTTCATAGCCGCATACTGCAATACCACTATAAGGTTCAGCCACTTACTAATTACTTGAAATTATACGTTTGATAACTATCTAAATAGGACGTTTGGCATGAATATGGGAGAGACTTTGATGTATTTAAAGTTTCCAGTAACTTATCAGACTTTTCACCATCTTGGTTTTAAAATAGGATTGTAAATTTTGGATAACTTTACGCTCTACAAACAGCATGCTCATGCTGGTCCTACCAATCACAGAGGATCTAAGCTGATAGGCAAGATGAGCAACTATTTGACAGCAAACAAAACGAAGTTAACAAGCATGAAAACAAACTATAAACTATCAAGGGGGCAGGAGTTTGTGAGAAATATACCTGTCCTCTACCAACAGCACAAACCTCCTGGGTAGTGCAAATTGAACCAGAGCCCATTCCAACACGCAGGCCATCCACTCCAGCAGCAATCAAATTCTGTGCCTGACCAATTGTCACCACATTGCCTCCAATCAAATCCACCTCCGGAAACGTCTTCTTGGCATACTTTATCATATCAAGCTGGTAGGTGGAGTTCCCCTGCGAGCTATCAATGACAATAGCATTGGCCCCTGCCTGAATTAGCTGCTCTAGCCTTCGCTTGTCGTCCTCACGGGTTCCAATAGAGGCTGCAACTACGAACTTCCCGTCTGCCCCAAGAGATGGCTTGCCTAGCTTCGGATAGCTCCGAATGCGCTCGACGTCCTTGGAGGTGATGAGATCGATTACCTCACCCTCCTCGGACACGAGAGGGGCGTAGTCCAAGCCCTCGTCGGCGAGGAGGGCCGCCGCCTGCTCGAAGTCAAAGGAGGCGGAGGCCGAGCGCGGGGCGGGGCGCATGTACTCGGATACAGGGGCAGGGGCCTCGGGCGAGGCGGCATCGGCGGCCACCGCGACGCCGACGAGCCTGGAGAGCGAGTCCCCTTGCTCGGTGACGAGGGCGTACTCGTGGCCCGCGAAGTCGTTGAGCGTCGGGGCGGAGGCCGGGGAGAAGATGGGGACGGAGGAGACGAAGGGGAGGCGGCGGGACTTGGCGGCGCGGACGATGGAGGCCTGGGCGCGGGGCTCGGTGTTGGAGTGGACGACGGCGACGCCGCCGAGGGAGGCCATCGCGGCGGCCATGGCGGCCTCGGAGACGGTGTCCATGGGGGAGGCGACGCAGGGGATGGAGAGCGGCACGCGGCGGGAGAGGCGGGTGGAGAGGTCGACGGCGTCGGCGGGGAAGTCGATGAAGCCCGGCAGGAAGATCACGTCGTCGTAGGTGTAGGACACGCCCTGCGAGAAGAGGCGCGCCGCCGAGAATCCATCGTCGGCCGCCATTTTCGGGTGGGAGTTTTAGGGTTTGGGGGTTGGCGCTGGCGGCGGCGGCGGCGGCGCGGCGGGCGATGTGGGCTGTGACTGGATGGGGTGCTGGATGGGTCGGGTGAGGATTGGGACCTTTGTTTAGG